TGCTTCTTGTTCCATGGAGATGTGAGGAATGGAGTACTCTCAGCTCTACAATCCTGCCGCTAAGGAGCTACCTACTGTCAATGATGGGCTCTAGCCCCTCAAATTGTGAGCCAAAATAAGGCCTTTCTTAAGTTGCTTCATGCCAGATATCTGCTTCCAGTTATGAGAAAAGTAACTATTTGTTCTCCCAGGGTTCTCATGTAACCTAGGCTGCCCTTGAACTCCTCATCCTCTTGCCGTCTCTGAAGTGCTAGGATTACAGGCATGTATCACCACATGCCTGAGCTTCCAAGTTCATTTTCAAACAACATTACACAAAGATATACTCAATATTCAGTTAGTAAAAGTATCTTTTATTAATAAAGTAGTCCTAATTCTTCCCTCCCATGCCTTGTATTATTAATACCACTCACTTCACTCACACATAAACATGCCTATGTGTACACAGATACTCATGTAATCAAATGCATTATTTCTGTTGGTACTAGGGATAGAACCCAGGACCCAATTTTGAATAATTTTTATTAGCTGTTTGTGTGTCGGTGAGAGAAAATGAAAATTATTCTTTGACCATCACTTGTTCCCTCATGAATATTCTTCTCTTCTTTACACAAATGCAAGTTTCTCCCCACTATCACTTTCCCTCCAGACACTCTCTTACAAGAAAGGAAGCATTTGTTTGAATCTTCAGAAGATTCAGTCCACGGTCCTTGTCTCTGTTGACTTGGGCCAAACATCATGGTGGCAGCTGTGTGGGGGAGACGAGGTAGTTCATCTTGTGGTGGGCAAGACACAGAGGTTCAAGAATTTCTAGGAACATCTCTTGAAAATCAGGCCTACATGGAGCTGATAATTTCCTTCAGGGTGTTGTTTCAGTTGTCTGAGAAAGTCTTTATGTCTGCTTTACTTTTGAATAACAAGTTCACAGGCCGCAGAACTCAGTGTTGGTGGGTTCTTTTCAATGAATGCCAACATTCCCGATATCTGACTTTGTCTCTGATGCTTTCACTGTCTCCTCAAATTCATTGGGCTATCGTTAGTCTTTGTTTGTTTTACGTGGCACTGGGGATGGAACACAGGGCCTTGAGCATGCTAGACAAGCACTCGACCACTGTTACACCCGATCTCTCGCTGCTGTTTCCTTTCACTGTGGCTTTGCCATTTCATGTTGGAAGCCTGACATGATGTGCTGGGTCAAAGAGACTGGAGAGCAGGTGTTCAGTACTGTGGTGGTGAGGTGTGGAGACAGGGACACGTTCTAGTTTCCCATGATCATGTGTTAGACCCTTGGTGAGCCTGGGCCCCTCGACTGTGCCCTTTACTAATGCTTCTTTCTCACTGTCCATTCTCAGGTGACACAAGATGGCTGGAGGGGCTGAGGTTGCTCAGTTCCTGTCTACATGAGTCTTTCCAGCTGGCTGGAGTTGAGATGTTCTCTTTCCATGTCAGTTAGACTCTCACGTCAGTTAGATTATGAGCTGGTAAAATAGTTTCTCCTGAGGGCTGACATGGTTAGGAACTAAATGTTCCCATGTTGTTTAGCTACCAGAATATGCTGGTGTCATACTGGCTGCTTTCTTCTCCTTCTGCCTGAAAAGTAAGGGTATTTCCTCTATTTTTACTGGAACAAAACTCACAAAAGGGTAAGTGTGCTTTCATGACACTGAACCCCTTGAGTGCTCAACTTTCAGATTCATCTGCTCTGAGTGCTCACCAGCTTGTCAGTTACAGCAAAGGTTTTGCTACCTGGTCTTGCTTCCTGTGGAGGTTTTCTGTGGGTCTCTGTGCCGGTCCATTGTAAGTCTCAGTATCCACTCTTCAGAATAGATGTTTTCTATAATCTCATTCCTTACAGATTTATTTCTTTTATTTTTCATTTCATCTAGCTAAGTGTGTTAGAAGGGAGTAATGACTCCCCAGCCCCTTGAATGTCAAATGAAAAATTAGAAATCATCCCTCCTTGAAAAATAGATTTATTCTTTGAGAATTTCCTTCATGCATACAACAAATTTTGACCACATTCGCCACTACCATGTCTCCATCTGAACTTTATGTCCTCTGTTTTTTTAACCCATTGAGTCCAATTTACCCAGGAAGCATATCTGTTTTAAAATTGAAGTGCCTTGTTTTTACTTAATATGGGCATTTGCATTTAAAATTAGTTTCTTGAAGCATCATTTTAATTGAAACCAGTGAGTTTCCACTTTTTTTTAAGAGAAGGTCTCATGTATTCCAGGTGGGCCTTGGACTTCCTGTGTAGATGAGAATGACCTTAAACTCCTGATCCTCCTGCCTCCACTTCCCGAGAACAGTGGGATTCTAAGTGTGAACTACCACACCCAGTTTGTGTGGTGCTGGGGATGGAACCCAGGGCTTTGTGCATGCTAGTCAAGCACTCTACCAACTGAGTTCCAGACCCAGTTTTTGCATTCTGAATTTGCTTTTCAGTCATCCCAAAGCAGTTTCTAGTTGTCTTTATTGTAACTGGATTTTTTATAGGCAGTAACATTTCTGTTCCATCATTGGACTAATTTCAGAGAGCACCAGTTCTTTCAGACCTCTGAATTTACATTTGTAAAGAATAGTTTCTTAGCAATAGGGGAACTGAAAGTAGACAAAAGTGGCTGGCAGTAGGGCCTATAATTTAACCCTTCACTGGTCTCCTTTTTTGTTGTAGGCTCAGTCCTGCTCAGGCTAGCCTTAAACGCACTGTGTACATAAGCTGGCCTCAACCCATCTTTCTGCCTCAGCTTCCTGAGTGTTGGGGTAATAGGCATGTGCCTTTATGCTTAGCAAACCCTTAGCTTTGGAAACCACCTTATGGCCTTCTAAGTCACTGGTTCCCAACTAAGGTGACATTACCCTTCTGAGCACATTTTTGATGGTCGTAACTGCAGCGTGGGATGGAACACAACTGGCATCTAATGGGTAGAGGTCAGGGATGCTGCTTAACTTCCCTCAAGATGTAGGGCATTCCTCTCCCAACAGAAACTTCTGGTCTGAAATTCCAATAGTGCTATTATTGGCAGAAATGCATTTAGCCTCTTAAATTAGTCAAAGTGTTTGCCACTTGCCCAGTACCTACCTGTGCAGCATCTCACTACTACTTCACAATGGTCCCTGAAATGTCACAATCTGAGATGAGGTAGGCTATGCCTTAAAGCTGAAGCAGCCTGTAAGCCAATAGCACAATTGGGACTACCATCCCCCAGTTCAATTGTTCACCAGAAAGCCAGCGGTTCCTTGGTCCCCTGCTTACTTCAGCTACTCCACTTTTCAAAAGTTGGTCATCATGCTTTGTCTTGTGAGTACTGCCACTCTTTGGTATCCACAAGGATTGGCTCCAGGGCCTCCTCAGATACAGTTGTTCAAGTCTTTCATATAAAATAGTCTAGAATTTATACATGATCTTTTTGCATCCTCTCCTACACTTGAGATAATCTCTATGCTGCCTGCCCATGTATGTGCGCCATGCTAATAATTGTTACACTATTAAGTATTACTTGTGATTCTGGAAACTGAACCTAAGACTCCACACATGCCAGGGCAAGTGCTCTACCTCTAAGCTACACCTTCACTTTTTATTTTCCCATTTTTTATTTTGAGATTGGATCTGACTAAGTTACCCTGGCTGACCTCAAACTTGAAGTCCTCTTACATCAGGCCCAAGGGTAGCTGGGATTAGAATCTTGTGTTATATATACTATATAATTTAAGAAATAATGACAAGGGAAAAGTCCATATGGATTCAATTCAGGCGACCTTTTAAACCTATTTTCAATCTGAAATTAGCTGAATCCTGTGGAAGCTGAAGCCCTATGGAATCCAGCTCATGTGGAAGCCACAGGTACACTGTCAGCTGTGCGTTTCCGCCTTTTTGGTAGACTAATGTGCTTCTCCTAGCCATACATGTTTCTCTCTGTCTTGTAGGTTCCTATTTAATGTCTTCATCTTCAGATATGGTGGAAGTTCCCTATCTGTAAGCAGCATAGCCATTAGCATAGGAAAGATCTTTCAATGAATTAGAAGATGTGAAAAAATATATAAATATAACATATAGCAAAATAGTAACTTGGTCATGTATAATTGCTTGAAATGAAGGTTTTATATGCTTCCAGAACAGGCTGAGAAATGGGGGATGATCTTCGAACTGGTGGGAAAAGAGAACTTGTGGGGTCCTACATTGGTTGTTGTGCCTATAGATTTTATTAGCTAGGTGAGGTGGCATACACTGATAAAAAATTTCAGCACTGTAGAGGCTTAAACATGTGGATTATGGTGAGTTTGAGGCTAGTTCGGGCTACGTAGTAAGTGCCAAGCCATTCAGGACTAGAGTAAGACTTTGTCTCAAACCAAGAACAAAAAAGAATTTTGTGTTATTAATAACAGATAATTAGTGAATTGTTCTCCTCATTAAATTCTTCACAGTACTGTCTCCTTTTCTATATGAATTGTTCATATGGGCACTCTTTGTTTTTATTGAAAGACCAGTTTTAATCCTGCTTAACAATGTACTATATACTATGATTTTGTTCCATAAATGTCTTATCAGAAACAATACAGAAACCAAATTCTTAATGTTTTGTGTCATAATTATCTTTGAATTCTCCTAGTCTTGAATCTCTATGTTTTATACTTTTATTATTCATAAAATGGGAATAGTTAGCCTTTATTAGCTAACCTAGCCCTTTCCTCGATGAACTTATTTAAAGCATAAATAATTGTGACCAGTACCATGTAAATGGTAAGGCTCCTCCAGTTGTGGAGAATTCACAATAATTGTGTTCATATGAGTTACTTCATCCAACTAGTTGTCAGACAATTATTAAAATATTTTTCTAGTGTGAACTAAAATACATATGCATTTTTGTATTCCTGACATCTAGCATCAGCCTAAGTAAACTGGAATGCTTTTTTCTAGGAGTTTGATTAGAAGATCTAAAGCTCTGACCTTGGACTTGCTTGACAGTTATGAGACCTTAATTCTTGTTTCTCTACAGGTGTTACAGAACATCTTGGACACTGAAAAGGAATATGCCAAAGAACTTCAGTCTCTTCTCGTTACTTATCTAAGACCCTTGCAGTCTAATAACAAGTAAGACTCTTTAAACCCTTAGTAAAACACAGCAAGATAATGTCAGCACTTGGAGGCATTACTCCTATGTCACTGAATAATTGATTTTGCTCTTTAAAAGAATTCCCACAGATCACAGGTTGCCAAGAACATGGTCAGGACAACGGCAATTATGCAAGATGTTGCTTTTGGAGAGCTTGGCTTGCTTTCTGTGGAAAGAATGAGCTGATCTGAGATTCTGCCTATGACTATTTTCGTATTGGGTATTTTTTTTTGCCTCCTTATATATTTTTTTTTAAACTTCAACACTTGGCACTAAACAATTGTACATGCTTATAGGATGGAGTGTGATATTTCAGTACACCTCTACAAAGTGTAAAATCAGATCAGGGTAACTGGCATATCCAGCAACTGTTTTGAAATATACAATTGCTTTTTGGCATCCCTAGAAACCCTACCGTTCTGTAGAACATTAAGAATTTATACCTCCTATCTAGCTGTACCCTGTACCCCTAAACTGTCCTTTCTGCATCCTACCATCCTCCTTATCCTCTCATAGTTTGGTAACTACTCTTCTTCTAAAGTACGTAAGACGTACTTTAAAAATATTTTTTGTAAAAAATTTCCATGTAAGTACATATTTTATGTATTACTCATATTCCCCACCCTCTTACCATCCTGTTTCTTGTCCTTTCCCCTCTTATTACTCTTCTTTATTCCCCCACACAGTTTTCCTTCTACTTTCTTTTTTTTTAAGATTTATTTTTATTTATTATGTATACAGTGTTCTGTCTGCATGTGTCCTTGCAGGCCAGAAGAGGGCACCAGATTTCATTATAGATGGTTGTGAGCCACCATGTGGTTGCTGGGAATTAAACTCAGGACCTCTGGAAGAGCAGCCAGTGCTCTTAACCTCTGAGCCATCTCTCCAGCCCTCCTTCTACTTTCATTACACACACACACACACACACACACACACACACACACACACACACACACACACGTGCATGCATGCGCACATGCACACACAAAATTTTATGTATCTATATAAAACAAGTGAGAGGCAACACCTGATATTTGCCTTTCTGAGACTGACTTATTTTGTTTAATATGGTTTTTTCTGCTTGCATCCATTTTCTTGCAAATGACATAACTTCATTCTTTATAGTTAAACGAAAATTTTCTTGTACATAGAAGGCACATTTCCCCTGTGCATTCCTCTAGTGTTGGACACCTGGGTTGGTTTTGTTGCTTAGCTGTCATGAACAGGGCTGCAATATTAAACAAAAGATCCATTCACTAGCACTGCAACATGCACCAATGTGCAGGTGTAGGGGTCTTCTTTTTAGCTTCCACATTTCCTGTGTATTTAAAGTGAAGTACTTTTATTCAGAAATCACATAAATTGGAAATTCTCATGCTTGCTCTGACTTTCATTTGCCAGGCCAGACCTCTTTCCCATGCTCCCTAAGTGGAAAGAGTGTAGCATTTTGCAAATGCTTAGAAGAGCACAATTCAAGGCAGGATTTCATTCAGGCACATGTGAATGATAATGAGATGGAAAGCATTCTGAAAGCAAAATGTCCAAAACTCACTAACCCTGAAATGATTTTCTAAAGTATAAGCTAAAGACTAAGTTTTCATGAAATAAAAATACATGTTAACACTAAAAATCAAAGAGACTATCAATTTGAGAGGGCATAGGGGAGCAAGCTAGAGGGAGAAAAGGGAAGGGGGAAATAATGTAATTAGATTTTAGTTAAATATTTAAAAAATACCGACCATTTATTGTTTATTATTATAGGGCTAACATATTTAACAAATAATGACCGCCCTTATTTGTTACTTTAACTGATTAAATTTCGCTAGCTATCATAATCTGTAAGTGAAATAGAAACTTTAGCTCACACAGCGGAAGACAAAATCTGAACTACCAACTCCAGGCTTAAATGAGTTTAATATAGTTAACTATTTTTCTCCTTTTTTCTCCCCAAATTATGTTGTTTAAGCAAACTGTCATGCTGAACTTTGATTTAACTGTTCTCATGACGCCAAAGGAAGCGTTTTTCATATGGAAGCGCTTTACATTCCTGTGTTTGGTTTTTATTATGTGAAATGTGAAGTGTTATGTGAATTATAGTTTATAGAGTGATGTAGGAATACAGCACACCACCCTTTCTAGTTTCCTGGGAGAACCGACCATCTCCATTGAGGAGATAAGAAACTGAAGTCTGGACAGGCTCACTGCTTTGCCTGTCACACAGCCCCCAAGTGACCAGACCAGCTCTATCATGTCTCCTGCTACACACTATCTGAAATGTGCCTTTTGTTTTCTGGCTGGAACCTGCAGAAGAGGGGGCCACTGAAGTAGTCATCCTGAGTGGGGGATGGTCAGATTTCAAATGAGGAAGAAGCAGACTTGTAATCCCGAAACAGGGAGAGGAGGGTGTGAGAGGGGTCAGACCTGCGCTCACGCTCACTTTGATGCTCACACTGGTGTCAGAGTGTTTCCACCAGTTCTGACTGTCTTCTCACCCCGCAAAGATTTGAGCAAGCCAGACTGTTTGCTGTCTGATGGTGAAGAGGCTAGCTACGTTCTCGAACAGGTTGCAGAAAGTTCAGGGGCCCTGCTTGCTGCAGCTATGATAGAAAAGCAGCCAGAGAAACTGGCTGCCTGCCAGAGTCCTCCTCCGCCAACAGGAGGCGGGGTTTCCAGTTTGCAGTCCAAGAGGGCAGAACAGTGGAGGAACTGGGAGCTTTTCATGTTCCGAGGGTTACTGGGAATGTTTACTGGCATCTTCCCTTTTTGATTAATGAGCAAAACTCCTTTGCAAATATTCCCCTAGGAATTAACTATGACATGTACATGCTTTTAAAATTTGTTTTGGGACAGTGTCTCTCATGTAGCTTACGGCTAGTTTCAGGCTTGAACTCCTGACACTCTTAAATCGACCTTTCAAGTGCTGGAATTACAGGTGTGCCTTACTGCATCTTTTTAGGATTGTATATATTTTTAATTTAATTTTAATATTTGTGAGGGTTTCTTACATGAGTACTGTATTTTCATCATTTCCACTCCTCCCCCCCCCTTCCAGTGCCTCCCTGTCTCCCTGAGCCCATTTAGTATTGCTCATATGTATGTGTGCTTAGAGCTGGTAATTTGTTTCTTTAAAATATTTTTTATTTTTAATTATGTATATGTCTATGTGAGTGTATGCCATGTGTGCTCAGGTGCTGCAGGAAGCCTGATCCTGGAGGGCATCAGATCCCTGGAGCTGGAATTCTATGCAGTTGTGAGCAGCTCCAATGTGGGTGCTGGGAGCTGAATTTGAGTCCTGTGCAAGAGTAGCAAGTGCTCTGGGCCCTCTCTGCAGCCCCCAGGATGATATATTCTGAAGGAGAGAGAATGTGTGGTACATCCACCTCTCAAGTGAATCTTCAGACAAGTGCTTTAGAGCGTGCTCTCTAGGGTTAGAATGCTTGGGATAACCTTTTCTTGGCTATTTATCGCTCTTTGATGTTCGGTGGATTTGCTTACTACCTGCCCTGTGCCTATGTCTTCTCGCCTGTAAAATGGCACTTAGCCTGTAAATGGCCATGGAGCTTAGCTCACAGAGCAACTGAAGCTCCTGTTTGGAAAGTGATTGCATGACTGTTCCGTGCCTTGTGAGGGTTGGCTCCTGTTCTTAGTATCGCTTACTGCTCGGTAAGGGAAAAATGAACGGGAGTATTCCTCATGTAGATGCCCTGTATAAAACCATTCAGTTTGCCACTATTTAACTCTGTTCCATCCCACAAATAACAATAACAAAATTCAATTTTATTATCTCCCCTCTGTTCTCTTTCATGAAGAATGTTTTTGGTTGTTATTTGAATATCTTCATTTTAGAGAAAGCTAATTTTGCTACCTTTTCCTCTCTGTGCTTGTTGAACATAAATATTTTAATTACTTCCCCATTTTCTTTAGAAGAGATATACCATAGATTTTTTAACTTATTCCAAATAGTTTTATACTTTTACCTATTGTTATACGTTCATATTAAGCACATGTTGTTTTCCTCATGGCTTAACAAAATACGTAAGTGCCCCTAATGACCACCAACTTTCTTTACAATCATTATTCTTATCGTATAAAAGATAAAGCAAGGGAAGAAGCTAAACAAGGGTGACAGAGGCCACAGAGCTGTTGTAAGTTAACAAAGAAGAAATTTGGCCGGGCGGTGGCGGCGCACGCCTTTAATCCCAGCACTCGGGAGGCAGAGCCAGGCGGATCTCTGTGAGTTCGAGGCCAGCCTGGTCTACAGCGCAAGATCCAGGAAAGGCGCAAAGCTACACAGAGAAACCCTGACTCGAAAAACCAAAAAAAAAAAAAAAAAAAAAAAAAAAAAACAAAGAAGAAATTCAAACACCGGCACTCTGACTTCCACACTTGCCAGCTTGCAGCCAGCTAGCAGCTACCTGAGCTCCAGCTAGCTATCTGATGCATCTTTCCGTTCTGTTAACTGGAACGTCATGTCCCTTTCTTTATTCAGCCTTAGTACTGTGGAGTTTACATGTTTATTGGGAAACTTTGAAGAAGTATGCACATTTCAACAGACACTCTGCCAAGCCTTGGAAGAATGTTCAAAGTAAGTGACTTTGCCCTTTCCTTCTATACTTAATTTAAAAATGCCTTTTGAGATGTATCACATAGACCAGACTGGCTTTGAACTCCCTATGTAGTAGAGGCTGAGCTTGAGTTTCTGACGCTCCTGCCTTCACCTCCCAAGTATTGGGATTATAAGATTAGGCGAGGCTCTTTATGTTTATATGTTTGCTGCAATTTCAACCCATTGTCCCAGAACACAGGAACACATAAAGATGACCCACCCTACAAAGACAGTGGTGGATTTAGTGTCAAACCACTAGATGTATGCAAAGGGTTTCCATCTAGTACACTGTTTCTGGCTTTCATTTTAGATAGCATCATTTGTTTTGTTTGTGTGCGTGTTTGCCGTCATGTATGTATGTGCACCAGGTCAGAAGAGGGTGTTGGATCCCCTGGAGCTGGAGTTATTGATGGTTATGAGCCACCATGTGTGCTGGCAACTGAACTCTGGTCCTCTACAAGAGCTGTAAGAGTGCTCAACCACTAAGCCATCTCTGCAGTGCCAATGATAACAGCTTTGATATTAAGACATTTTTATTTGATGTGCTGAAAACTACTTGGAAAAGTCATTTAAATCATTCCTTTCAAATCTTTCCCTTTCTGACCCCTTAGATTGGGGCCTTGTGTACTCTAGGCAGGCTCTCTACTACTGAACTACACCCCCTGGCCCTCACTTTGCCCACTCCAACCCCATCTCTTCAGTCCCAGCAGGCCCCAAGCTCGCTCTGTAGCCTAGGTGGGTCTAGAAGTTCAGATCTTTCTACCTCTGTCTCTGGCGTTACAATACTTACCACCATGTCCAACTTGGTTCTTTGTAGCACTCTTGGTATTGTGTCTGTTATAGTCTGACTTGAAACACATACAAAATTGGAGAAGAAAAAGTATATGTCTTGTGTGAACCACGGCATGATTTTTAAAAAAGATTTATTTATATATTCTGTATATGGGTGTTTTCCCTGCAATATATACATATATGAGTGTGCACCATGTGCATGAAGTACCCTCAGAAACCAGAGAAAAGGCTGGATCCCCTGAGACTGGAGCTATAGACAGTTGTGAGCCACCAAAGTGGGAGGATGCGGAGAACTGAACCCAGGTTCTCTGGAAGAGAAGCCAGTGATTGTTACCACTGAGCAATCTCTCCAACCCCCACAGCATGGTTTTGATGACTACTTGATTTCTGAATTAGTAAACATCATATTACAAACTTCACTGGAATGACCTTCTGGCAGTATATTTCTGGTGTAAAATTAATTTTCCAGTGTATCTTGGAAAAACTAGTGACTTTCATCAGTCTATGGAAATTGGGAAATTGCCTGTTTTCTGAGCATCATGGGATGAAATTTTGTCCAAGATGTATTATGCTATTAAATTCAATCAGTTTTGTCTGTGTTTGAACTTGGTGTGAATTTGAATATTCTTAGTGTGTCAAGAGAAGTTTGAATATTACCATCCTAGAAACAAACAGCCCTACCTGCTAATTCCAAGTAAGAATTTTATCCTGTGCATCAGAGTTTTACTTGGTAGCTAGAATTTATTTTTTAAATTTTATTTATTTAATGTGTATTGGTGCTTTGCCTGCATATGTCTGTGTACCACATGCATGAGTTAAAGATGGTTGCAAGCCACCATGTGGGTGCTGGGAATTGAACCTGGGTACTCTGGAAGGGCAACTAGTGCTCTCAACATCCAGGCCATCTCTCCAGCAAGGTGGCTAGAATTTTAATCAGTGATCAAAAATTGCATTCCATGGATAAAGGGCTTCCAGTGTACCTAAAAACAAACAAACAAACAAACAAACAAACAAATAACCCCCATGGCAATGCATCAAATGGTTTACCTGTTTCTGGGCTTAATTGTGAGTATCTTTACCTTCTATTTCCTAGTTTACATTCTATGCTTCACATGTTTTACTTACAGGTTTCCAGAAAACCAGCACAAAGTAGGAGGCTGTCTACTGAACCTCATGCCTCATTTTAAATCAATGTACCTGGCTTACTGTGCAAATCATCCTTCAGCTGTCAACGTGCTCACCCAGCACAGGTAATGTCCTGGCTTTCCCCCAGCACAGGTAATGTCCTGGATTTCCCTCAGCACAGGTAATGTACTGTTTTCCCCCAGCTCAGCTGTTCTGCAGAGAGCCTTGCTCAGAAGGACTTCTTGGAATTCAAGGTCTCCAGTTCAACTCTTGGTTATCTCTGTTCCACAGACCAAGACTGAATTCATTGTCCCATGGCTTGGTCATCTACTAATGCAACAAATAATTTACTGAGCACCCACTCTAGGCAAGCTTGTAAATACACTGATGAACACAGTAGGAGTGATCAGGAAAGACAGGGTCCCACCTCTTGTGGGAGAGAAATGCAGTTGTCAAGTGAAACACTGTGGGCATGTATTGCAAGAGGTTTGTCAAAAGGATATTGGGAACTTTGCAATATGATAAGTAAGTGGGATTAGGGCTAGGGTTAGGGTTAGGGTGGAGGAAAAATCAGGGAAGACTTTGCTTAAGTAAAATTCCATTTAACATTATGGGTTAACCCTACATATACCAAGTATTATTGTTTACGTTGTGATCAACATATGTTAATTGCACATATTATTGGCTTTCACTGTGACATTGCCACATGTGCACATGTCTTGGTTTGGTCATATCATATCCACTCTTAACTTCTCTCACTTCTTCCCCCTTGAGTCACAAGTAGTCCCTTTACTATATTCAGATTGATATTTGTTTTGTTTTGATTTAGGATCAGATCAGTCCATAGCCCAGGCTAGCACCAAATTCTTGGCAATCCTCCTGACTCACCCTCTTAAATACACACACCACCTGGTATGTTTTTAATTCTAGTTCCTGAATATGAGAAAAAATAAGTGACTTTTGTGTTTCTGTACTAAACTGATTTTGTTTAACATGATGACCTTTATTCCCATTTCCTTCCTATAAAGAACATTCACTTCTCTATGACTGAATAATAGTCCATATAGACAGATAAAAAGATATAGAGATGTAAGTAGATATATAAATATAAAGTACACACACCCCCCCCCACATAGGCTGATTCAGTGCTTAGCTGTCACAATGAAGAGCCTCAATAAACATGGGTGTGCAGATAACTCTGTTATATGCGTCCTTCATTTCTTCAGTTATATACAAAGGGGTTGTATAGCTGATAGTTTTGTTTTTAGTGTTTTGAGAAACTTCCACTCTGTATAGTGGCTAGACTAAGATATATTCCCACAAGCCATAGACAACACAGTTTCTTTTCCCTGTATCTGCCAGCATTGGTTGTTGCTTTCTTGATGAGAACCATATGACTTAGGGTGAGATGGGAATCCCAATACACTTTTGATTTCTATCTCCCTGATGGCTGAATATTGAATTTTTCCCCCCATAAATTTGCCATTTGTGCCTTTTGCGAAGTGTTTACTCAGATGATTTGTCCATTATTTATTGTGTTATTTCTTCTTTGGCTAAACTTAATGAGTTTTTATTTTTGGAGAAATTTTTCTTAGAGTTAAAAAGAAAAATCCCAGGGCCGGCAAGCTGTAAATCTCACCAGCTGCAGAGAGGAGGGAGTTGGAGAGGGAAGGAGAGAGAGATTGCCATTTGAGCCAAGCCAGCATGGAGGTCAGCCATATGGCAAACAAGCGGACACATGACAGGCAGGGGAACATGGCAGAAAGAGAGAAAATACCTCAAGGACAGAGAAAGTGTGCTTGGGCTCTGCTCAGTATCTGAAAGAAAAAGACGAAAGGAAAGGGCATGAGGGTTAGGGTGCCTCCCCAGCTATGGCACTTCTTGAGTTTTGAGACACATTTCCTCGACATTCTGGAGGAGATTTCTCTCACACCGTGTGGGCTGTCTCTTTGTTCAGTTGTTTCTTTTGCAGTGTGGAAGGTTTTCTTTTTTCTTTTTTTAAATAACATCTCTGGAGTGGCATATGCCGATTCTTGCTTGATTTCCTGGCATATGGAGTTCTCAGAAAGTGCTTGCCTATACTGTATTTCAGGGTTTCCTCCTAGCATTTCAAAGTTTCTTGTCTTACACTGAGGTCTTTGATCAATTTTTGCATGTATGTTTGTGCAGGGTGAGAGAGATGGAAGTAGTCCCATTCTTTGACATGGTGTATGCAGTTTTCCCCAGGCTTTGTGTGTCACTGATCCTTTATATTTTATATTTACACTTTCTTCTACACTCTAATGAATGTTTCCCCCAAGCTTTGCTGCTTCTTGGGTGCTGATTGATACAAGTTTCAAGAAATCAAGTGGGTAAACAATGGGCGGTGGTAAGGGACCTAACACTGACTGTGAGCTCCGTGTCACTTCCTCTAATAATTTGCGTGAATACAATTGGCTTCGAGTTTTCAAAAAAAAATAATTGAACGCTATCTCCCATCAAAATAAATCTTTACAGTGCTGGGAAGGTGGCTTAGTGGGTGAAATGTTTCCCACACAAATATAAATACCTGAGTTGGGATCTCTAGCACCCATCCATGTAAAGAAAACCAGGGCAGGTATAGAGGTGCCTGTCTGTAAGCCCACAGGCAGGAGAGCAGAGGCAGGCAGATCCCTGGAGCTCAATGGCTAGCTAGTTTAGCTGAACCATGAATTTCAAATTGAATGATAAGGTGAAAGGTATCTAACATTGGTTTCTTGTTTTTAAATGTACACAGGCATGCACACCCAAGCACACAGGTGTGCACACACACATGCATGCAAATGAACAAGTACACACACATGAAATGGAACATGTGCACACATACATGCAAATGTACAAGTGCACACACATGAAATGGAACATGTTCTCTCTCTCCCTGTCTCTGTCTCTCTGTCTCTCTGTCTCTCTGTCTCTCTGTCTTTCTCTGACTCTCTGTCTCTGTCTCTGTCTCTGTCTCTGTCTCTGTCTCTCTCTCTCTCTCTCTCTCTCTCTCTCTCTCACACACACACACACACACACACACACACCCCAAATGAAAAAATAAGTATTTACAAGGCTATATGAATGACACATCTCTTCAACAATTCCTTAAATTCTGAATACCCATCTTTGACACATTCACCAAAAATATTTATCTGGATCAGAAATGAATTAAAGGCTGAAGATGCAGTTTAATCACTGGAATCATATGTAAGAAACCCAGGCCGGATGATAATAGTGCCAACACACACTGGCTCTTTTTTTCACAGACTGAATTCAGAGCAGACATGGGTTCTGGACACAGCTCAAGACAGAAAAGAATAGGCTTTTGATGTGTCCAAGACTTGAACTTCCCTATCCAGGCTAGAAAATTAGTTGATATCAACCCTCAGAAGTAGTAGGCATTTCAGTTATGGAAATCAGTATGAAGATTCCTTTAAAAACTCAATTTAAAACAGTTATCTCCCCTTTGACTATGTGTGCAAAGGAATCAAGGTCAGTATACAATAAAGACACGTGCACATGCTTATCATAGTAATACTCACAAGAACCAAGATGTGAAGTCAAGCCAGGTGCCCATCAGTGGATGAATGAGTAATCAAAATGTGGCATTTATAAACAAAGGAATATTTCCCAGCTACAAAGAATAAAATCATGAGGTTCTAACTTCTTTTTTTAGTACTTCCTCAAAACCCACAACCAGAACAAACAAACAAAAAACAAGGACACCAGAGACATGAGACTGCACTGGCAATACTTTGTTGGCTGGTGAGATGGCTCAGAGGGTAATGGTGCTTGCCACACAGACCTACCAATCTGAATTCAGTCCCTGAATCCCAATACCACAGTGGAAGGAGAGAACTGACTCCTAAGACCTCTCCCCTGTCCTTGTTGTACCCACGTTCACTCATGCATACACATCACACACACACACACACACACACACACACACACACACACACACACACACACACACACACACACCATCATCATCATAATTAAATTGAAAAGAGAAAAATGTATTTTTAAAAAGAGCGGATATTAACATAGACATTTTATCACAAGTGGTTCAACTGCTTAAAGGGAACATTAGCTAATAATAGCACTGAAAATGTACCAGGCATGCAGTTGTAAGAAGCCACGAGGAAGTTACTATTATTACCATCTCTGCTTACAGATAAGTCACTGGCAGGCTTAGGTTGAGTAATGTGCCAAAGAACTCATAATTGGTAAGTGATAGAGTCAGAAGTCAGGTCAGTCAGGTCAGTCAGGTTTCTAAAAATGTTTTTTAGTAAGAGAGATATTTTACCCACAAAGAATAACGTGAATGCAATTTTGAAGAATTATAATAAATATGCACCCAAGAGCTCACCACCTAACTCAGTGACATAATGTTATCATTTCATTTTTGTACCACAGATTGAGATGTAATGCACAAATCATAGAATTCACTCGTTTAACGCATGGGTAGTAACATAGTAATGTACACCTGGATCTCAGCATCTGGGAGGTGAAGGCAATATGATTGAGAGTTCAAGGTCATCCTTGACTGTGTAGTGAAATCAAGGCCAGTATCTTGGGCTACATGAGACCTGATTTCAACAAAACAAACCATAAAATGTCAGAAATCATATTAGAGTCTGTTGAGGGTCTTCCAATTCGTCTCATCCCAGAGTAAAGGATATAATGAATTGATCTTTCCTATATTCACAAAATCACACAATTGTCATCATAAATTTTGGAATATTTTTAGCACCCCTAAGCAAACATATCCTTTAACAGTCACCCCACATAGTCTAAAAATAACCAAAGGTAACCATACCAAACTAGCTCAATCACTAGGCATTTGTTTATATTGGACTTGGTATAGGTAAGACACACACAATATGTGGCTTTTTGTATCTGGCTTCTTTCACTTAGCATTTTTGCCTTTTCAGTTGTATTTTTATGTACCAAATACAATAATGAGTTTCATTTTGATAATATATATGTATATAAAATTACACTTTGTTCATATCCTTCCCTATGTATTCTGTGTATGAGCACAAACATGCAATATTTATCTTCCTCCATTACCCTCTTGTTTCCTCCTTTGCTATCCCTTTAGACCCCTTTCTCTCCCTGC